GCTCTTCAATACAAAATCATTACTTCACCAAATTCTCAAAGCCAGGTACTTTAAAAATTCGAATATGTTGGAGGCAAATAGGGGCTTTGATCCTAGCTATTCATGGAGAAGTATGTGGGGAGCAAAATCGGTGCTTCGAGATGGTCTAGCATGGAGAGTGGGTAATGGGGAGAATATTAAGGTGTGGTCGGATGGGTGGTTGGTAAAGGAGGGTGTGGTAATTTACCCATCCCGACCCCCTACTGCTGATGCTAATCTGCGAGTGGCTGCTCTGTTATCTGAGTGTAGAACAAGCTGGGATGTGACAAAAGTTGAGGAGCTATTTGATCATAATGTGACAGCTACAATACTAGCCACCCCGTTATCTTCACATATGATGGGGGATTCTATGTACTGGTATCTTGCAAAGAATGGTGAATACTCGGTAAAATCCGGGTATTGGCTAGCGAAAATGGGTGCTAGTAATGTAGGAGGTAATGTGGAAGAGGAGGAGTTGTGGAAGTCGATTTGGAAGGCTCGGGGACCCCCAAAATTGAAGCATTTTCTTTGGAATGCTGTGAAAGGGAATATGGCGGTTAAAGAACGACTTGTGCAGCGTCACATTATAACTGATGCAAGCTGTCAGTTTTGCGGTGTAAGGGAGACTGTGATCCACCCATTGCTGGAATGTGTTATTGCTAAGGAAATATGGAACCTCAGTGAGTATAAAGATTTATTGCATGATGCTCCTCGTACAAGCTTTACTGAATTGTGGTCTTGGCTAGGTAGGAAGGTGGAGGCGAGTGAGGTGTGTGCCATGGCGGCCTTAATGTGGGCAGCGTGGAAAGGGAGAAACATGATGATGTTCCAAGGGGAAAGGCCAAATGGTGTGATGTTAGCTGCGGGGTTCTCAAGGCTAGTACAAGACTATAAACATATGCTGAGAAGGTGCTGCAAGCCCCTACTGTTCTTAGCAATGTTGCTGCTTCTGTTGCGAGTTGGAGGAGGCCTGCTGTGGGTCGTATCAAAGTGAACACTGATGCTCACGTGATGGTAGGTTCGCTGGTGGGATTAGGTGTCGTGCTAAGGGATGTTGATGGTGTTATACTCGCTGCGGCAGTGAAGAATACGTCTGGAACGATCCCAGAAATTGCAGAAGCAATGGCTGTACGCTATGGTGTAATGCTGGCTGCGAGATTAGGCTACAATTCAATCGAGGTTGAGACCGATTCTTTGAATGTGGTGGCTGCCCTGAAGAGCTCAAGAAGAGGTGCCTCTTCGATACACATTATCTATGATGATATTAGAAACGATAGCTTGTCTTTTAGTTTTTGTTCTTTTACACATATTAAGCGATCTTGTAACACCGTTGCCCATTTAGTAGCAAGGTGGGATACCGGATGTAACTCTGAACTTGTTCGCTTAGGTACCTTTCCTCAAAGCATAACAACTTTGACGGAAATGGACCTCGATTAATAATATCTGGCTATCGTTTCCCTCAAAAAAAAAATCCCTTAATTGCGTATTTGGATATACTTAATATCATTCAACTAATAAATTTGGGTGCACCTAGCTTTACTTACATCGGTTATTCGGTATACACAATTTTTCTTTTTTTGTAAAACTAATACGATATGTGCAATTTTGGGTGCATCTGAGCTTTGATTTGTGTAAAAAAAATGGCAAAGATTTTAACAAAAAGAAGTTAGACGGGCGAAATTTCATAACTTCTTAAGCTATTAGGATCAATTGATCGATTACACTACTACTTAGCTTTTCTCTCTCTAGCGCCAACCCCCACAAAAATCCAAAAAAAAAAAAAACCCAAAAACCAGATCAATTGGGGTTGCCATAGATGGAAATATTCATGGTAAGCCCCAATCCCCTCTTTAGTCTATAATTTAAGTAGTTTTTTCATAGTTTATTGGTCAAGAAGTGAGTCTCTCTTTATGAGAGTTTGTGAGTCTCTCTTTATGAGAGTTGTTTCTCCCATTCTATGGGGTTTTTCTGTTTTAGCATCTATTGGTCAAGAGAGACGAAGATAGCAAATCCTCGACAACGGAACTGTTATTTTTCCTTTGATGCTGCACGAATTTGTGAGATTGCTGTATTTTGGAAAGACGCAAGGACGTCATCAATGGTTTACGCCTGTTCTTCAGTGGAGAATAAGTTAGTAGATTAAGAGAAAAATATGTTTATGATGTGAGATGTGTTCTTTGTAGTCTTTACTTGATTTCTGTAAGTGTTGTTTGACTTGTTTAATTTATGCTATTTCTATGGTTTCCCCTCAAAAAAAAAAAAAAAAAAATCAATTGATCACTATTGTTTTTTTATGCTTATATCCTTTATTATGTAGCTCAATTTATTTTGTTTAATTATTGAGTACGGAGTATGATTTTGGCCATGTTGTACTTCTTTCGTTTTTTCTCCATCCTTGGCCCACCATTCATAGCTCCACTTCTTAAATCTTGAATAAAATATTACTTGTATATTATTATCTTATATCACGTCTAATCGTCTAAATACATTGTTAAAATACCAATTGATAACCAAATACCTATATGATCTCACTTCCAAAAAGTGAAAAACTATGTGCATCAATAATGGATTTTGGTGAATAAATTCTATTGATTATTTGGTTAATTCGTCATCTGCTTCACCAATGTGCATACATCTGTGTAACTGCTCAACAATAAAGCAACTATCAACTGTTTGTGGAGTGGATTTATCCCCTGCTACAAATCTTAAAGCCTTGTCACCTACACGAACCAGGCTATAACCAGCCAATATTTTCACTCCTCTATCCTTAACTAATCGTCTCATCTTTGCTGCATCACTCCATGACCCTGTACTAGCATGCAAACTCGCTGCTAGCATGTAACCAGATGAACCAAGGGGCTCCAACTCGAGAACATGAGAAGCTGCTCCCTCACCAACTTCGACTTTCTTGTACCTAGTGCAAGCACTTAACACCGCTCCCCACACACTTGCCTTGCCCTGAAAATTTTCAGGCATAACTTTGATCAACTCCATAGCATCATCCAACTTTCCTGATCTACTCAACATATCAATCATACAAGCAAAATGCTCCAAACTTGGTTGAATCCCAAAATTTTGAACCATCTCTTTGAAGAATGAGAGGCCTGACTGAATTAGTCCGCCATGACTACAAGCAGATAACACTGAAAGTGCTGTTACTGCATTCGGTTGGAAACCACGTTGCTTCATTTCAACTACTAGGCCTAATGCATCTTCAGCCCGACCATTCATGCCATACGCTGATACCATAGTACTCCATGACATGATGTTTTTCTGGGGTATAAGATCAAACGCCTTTTTTGCTTCTTCTACTGACCCACATTTGGAGTACATGTCTATAATTGCAGTTCCAACAGATACATATGCAGCAAAGCTACTTCTGATGGCAATGCCATGTGCCCATTTACAAGTTTTGAGTTCAGCTAAAACTGTACAAGCTTCAAGCAAGTTTAAGACAACCACTTGATTGATTCCCTCCTTAATTTCGGCCATTTGTCTATAAACAGTAATCGCTTCATCAGGCATACCACAATATGCGAAAGCCCCAATCATAGTAGCCCATATAACCGTATCCTTTTTATCAGTTCTGCTAAACAGTTTCCATGATAGCTCAATGAGATTGCATTTGGCATAAGCGTCGATTAAAGAATTTAACACCAAAGCATTTGACTCATACCTATGTCTCAGTATTCTGCGGTGTATTTGTCTGCACTGAAATGGATCAGTAAACTGCTTGCATAGTTGAAGAAGATTCACAAGTGTCACTTCATCTGTTCCAATATTTGCCTGCACCATGGAATTGGCTAAGTCTAATGCTTCCCGATGCATTCCATTATAAGCCATCCCAGATAAGACTGAATTCCAGGACACAATATTTTTTGACAACCATTGCGTCAAAAACCCTCAAGGCTGATGCCGGGTCACAGCACCTAGAATACATGTCTATCAAAGAGTTTGCAACAAACACATCAATATCATGCCCTCTAGAAATGGCGAACCCATGAAGCAAACTTCCCGTGGTAGCATCTTCAAGTTTACTGCAGGCCTTCAGAATACTAACCACGGTCAACCCATCTGGCTCAACCTCCATAGTTTTAAAAAACTGCAAAGCCAACAACGGTTCCTCATTCTGAACACAAGCCCCAATCATCAAACTCCAAGAAATAACATCTCTCTCACACATTTCATCGAACAGTTGGCGTGCATTTCCAATATCATCATCAGCATACACACCCATCAGAGAGTTTTGCAGAGACAGTACACACAGAAACCCACTTTTCAGTACATAACCATGAAAGTTCCTCCCACCATCAAAATCCAGCAGAATGCGATACGCTTGAGCTACAAGAACCAAGGTGGAAACATTCGGTTCAAAACCCGAAACTCGTCCCTGCACAAAAAACCAGAGACCGTCCTCTACAAGACCCTGATCAAGATGCCCATGAATGACAATATTCCATGAAACAGAGTCTCTGTTTCTCATGCCCCGAAACACGGAGAATGCTAAAATTGGGGAACCCCATTTCATGTAAAAATCCAGTGTTGAATTCCCAACAGAAGGGAAAGAATCATACCCCTGCTTCACTGAACAAGCATGCACAGATTCTCCGAGTTTGAAGGAAATTTTTGAACTTGCTTTGATAATAGCAGGGAAGAGAGAAGTATCTGTAAGTTGTACTCCAGACCTCTGCATTCCTAAATAGCAAGACATTGCTTCTTGCCAATGTCCATTTGATAAACACTCTTTGATCTTCGAATTCCATTCAAGTAATCTCAAATTACACAATGCGATTCGCAATCGCATTGCAGTGCATAACAAATGAACAAATGGAGAGAGATTGAGAGAAGGAAGAGAGAAGCAAAGTAGGAAAAGTACAAAGATTGGCCGTATGCCTGTATCCTATCACTTGGACATGGATTGGTGCGAACACTTCTAGCTGAGTCGGAGTAATATGCATAAAATGCCAAGCAAATCAGCAATGTAAAAAATGATTTTTTTTTTTTTCATTAGCTTTTATTTGTCGAGCAAATGAATCTATACAAATAGAAAAAATATAAACCTATAGGTAAATTGCTTTTACAGAAGATGTTACAAAGTGAGGTCGACGATGGGATCTATCATCTATGTAATCAAAGAATTTCCAAAGAGAGGAAAAAATTGGGCAAAAAAAAAATGATCATTTTGTATTCTCCTAATAGACTCTGCTGCTATGTATTGAGATTTGAGAGTTGAGACTATTCCGTGAATTTGCAGTGTCGAAGGTAGGGACTATCATACATAACATATCTGGACCAATATGACTTGTACTTGGCGATGGCAAGATCTAACCACGGTTTGTAATTTCCATTGTAATGAACAACCGCGGCATTCCCTATTGCAGTCTGATTGAGTGCAGGGTCATATCCAAGTCCCAATACATGCCAGCTTCGATCTAGTGGATAGGTCAAATTGTAGAAAGTGATTAGGCCAGGCGGCAATGAGCCCAGCTTCCACAGAGTTCTGTCCTCATTCTGCAAAGCAAGTAGCCAATAGATCAAAAATCCAACAGATAAAGTTCACAACATAGCTTTAACACAGTTTTGTCCTCTCTATTACTTCAATTTACAACAACAAAGGAGAGGAAAATCTCCTAATTATACAACCTCCAGTTGAAAATAAAAGGAGAACCATCAAAAACACACAAAAGAAAAGCTACAAATTGCATTTAGTTTTAACATTGGTTTTGATAAATCAAAGATATTAAAGCATGACCAGATTGAGATCTTCTTTATTTCCTCTTAAAAACAATATCGAAAAAAAGACAGTCCGAAGTCAAACACAGGGTAGAGTTTTATGTGAAAACAAGTAAGCAGCTCCCTCCACTGACCCAAGAAATCACTGAGACTTGACCTCCAAACTAATAATCAATGCCCTTAGAAATCTACACAAAATAGACTACCGAAAGCTCCAAGTAGAAATAAGCACACAATATCTGCAATCAATTTATAGCAACATGGACCAAGCTACTCTCTAATTTAAGCCCGATTTTGGTTGAAACTAAGATAGAAAGTGAGAAGTGACAGATTTTCTAAGAGGGCAAATAGATAAAATGGGACAATGAAATAAAGTATTCCTTACCAGTTCTTGCCAGTAATGATATATTCCGGTAATGTTTCGCTTCCTCCACTCCTTCAGGTCAAACATATTCATTCCATATGCCCAGCCACAAGCATTGGGGTCAAAATTTTCTGAGATCAAGGGATTAGAGAAGTTAAGATACTTGTCAAACCTATGAAAGCTCTCCTTACATGTCTCAACAGCACCATTCACCATTCCTTTCATATCAACAGACCAAAGTGGAGTCAAGTCCTTTTGAACAACAATGTCATCATCTAAAAACAAGATTTTATTCAGCTTAGGATATACTTCTGGAAGATAGAAACGAAGATGGTTCAACATTGACAGATATTTCGGGTTCCTATACTTCAGTTGGTCTGTGCCAGTTGAAAGAGATGACGGGTTATTATTGACCTTAAAGTAAAACTCCTTCATTCGAGCAGATTCAAGTTGCCGAAGCACAGGGCAATAAGAAGAATTTAACCATGTAAAATCATCAATGTTCAAGACTTCTACAGAAGCACTAGAGGGAGGATTATCAAGAAACCACATTTTCATGGCTGAAACCTTCAACTTATCCGTCACAATGTGGAAAACATGCTTTTCCGGCTCATTAGCATGCACAATAGTAGAATTCACTACTACTGCTGCAGCAAGTACATTATCTGAAAAAATGGCATAATGGTAAAGTGACGGGTCCTCAAGCTTATCTTTCATGTTAGCACCTTTGTTTGCACGGCCAGAAATGAAATAATTAGCAGTAAGCAGTTGAGAAAGGCAATGTATATGTTTTGGTATCGTCTTTGCAGCTAGCTGAATCAAGAATGCACTCTCCTTCTTCAGAGCATTGACATTATCTTCAGTTACTTGAATCATTGCTCTTAGCTTCCTAGCCAAAACGGCACAATCATGCAATTTCTCTTTTGCTGATGCGAGAATCCCCCCCATTGCCTTCGCTTGATCCAGGGCACTGCAAGAAACAGCTGCTACATGAGAAAAAGACTAGTGACTATTAAACATGTGATAAGTATGCCAAAAAATAAAAGCATTACCTTGGCTGAAGATCAACATCAGAATTTGCTTCACCAATGGCACTCAGGCTATCTTTGGTGCAGTTCATCAAGGAATTGTAAAGACTACTCTCATTCTTAGCTTTCGCAATGGTAGCATATGCTTTTGCCATAATGATTTGATCACGCATAAGCTTCAAAGTAGAATCAGAATTGGAATTATCATAGTCGCGTCTCCAAATGCTATACTTTCCAATGAAAGTAGTATCCAGCCCCTCAGCACGTTCAATGGCTGCTTTCTCCATCTCTGCATCCATTTCTTTGTCTTGCTTCATAAGTTCTGCTGTACGGAGCTCCCTCCTTTTAAGCCGTAATATCTGCAAGCAATAAGTATAAATCGCCAAGCATGTGAGAAAAAGTAAATACTAAACTGGAAGCAGTAAATGAACCTGGCGGTGACGCTTAATTGGATCATCTGGATATTTTTTTGTGTTGAAGACAGTGCTTTCTGTACTTTGCTTTGTCTCAACAGGATCCTCAGTACTGTCTTGGTACTTTGTGATAGGCTGAGATAAATCCTTTGATTTCTGAAAAGGCAACAATGGTAAACATTGCCAATCAGTTTACATTTGCTAAGAAATAACTCCCATGTCTGTAACAGCTATAATGAACAACACAACCCAGGAAAAAATAAAGTTAATATTTTAGCAGAATAACTACAGGAACTTTACATCTCCTGACAGTTACAGTTATTGAGTTTCAGGAACAGATCAAACAGCATATATCAACTGGCTCTCAAAACCTTTTCATTCTCTATTCAGAAAAAGTACCTCAATATTTTTCACATTGTCATCATGGTGACTAGGAGTTTTCCAAACCCAGGAAGAAGATAGATCTTTTGCTTTTACTGAACCAACCCTAACAGCTCCAGAGGCATCACTGTATGTCACCATTATGTCAATATCCTGTAATAGAAAAATAAAAATAAGTATTTTCCAATTTATGTTTGACTACCTAAGACCAGCTCTAATAGATACCTTAACATCTAGATTCCCAGATTTATCATTGGAAGCATATGATGGAGTTGCCTGGTCCTGCACTGTTACCATTAACAGTAAGATCATGTACAAAAAAGATACAAACTTAAAATGATGAAAAAGATGGACACAGAACCTTTTTTCTGTTACATTGTTCACAATCATAAAGAAAAGGGTACCCTCTGCGATCTCTTTGACTGAAATAATAGTTTACAAATATTAAGAAAATATGTGATGCCAGTGAAAAAAAAAAAACATTAAAAATAATAAGACTAACCAAAAATGACATAAATGTAACCAACTTACAGTAACTGAGCTTTGATGAGTGTACTACTGTATACAAACTGCATAATTGAAAGAGATTATATTAGTAGACAATCAACAATAGTAGATAAAAAGCATCTTAGTAAGGTTTCATATATTACAGAACTTGCTTTTAGAAAGCTCAATGCATTTCAAGGCACACAGGGTTTAAAGTCATGGTGCAATCAGCAAGGCAGGCACAAAGTACATTGCATACTTATAAGGCATACTTATAAATTAGCAGAGTGATTCTTAAAGGAGCATAAGAGAAATCAGAAAAAATAGACAATAATAGAACAAAAGTAAACAATACAAGGACATGATGCCTCATGTATGCTCGCAGTTGTGCCTATGTGTCCTTTCAGAGCCAAAGTTGATTGAGGCAATGAGGCCAGCTTATGCCTCTACATGTAATGAAGTTATAAACAGTGATTTACAATTAAGATAACAACATACCTTATACACACAATATTGTTCCAAGAAAGATTTATAGCCTTATTCATTCCTCAAGTACCCCTTTTTCCTTGTGGTTTCAAATAATATTTTTAACTCATTCATTGAAATTAAAAAATTCATGATAATAAAATTCTCAAAAGAATACATGTTGTGAAAATGATTCATAAGCGTTCTTGTAAAACTTTGCTCCAAAAGTCTAAAATGCACACACCTCCAAGCTCAGACCTTGAATTTGAGAGCTTTTGGAGCTTCTATGCACCATGCACATCACATCTTAGATCTAAGTCAAATGGCTCTCAAGTCTCGACTCTCGGTGAGATAGAGCTATTAACACCAATATGATTTGATTATGTCTTTGTTCCTTGGGGTTTACAAAGAAGCTTTTAATTCACAACAATAAGCAAACAAAAAACACTTCATTCAAACCCAAAGTCAAATTTGTTATGATATGTACTCATAAATAGACTTGAGATCAAATGAAATCAGTAAATTTAATACATGTTTACAACTTGAAATAAACTAGCAAGAATCTCAATATCAAGAACATGTTTAGGCAAAATGGCACCCCGCCCGAGTTTATTTTAGACAAGTATTCTCACATTCAATACTCATTATCAACATCTGAGTAACATTGGTTGAGTTGTGCATCTATATGCTAAGTAACAGGAAGATCCATTGACGAAAATCCAACTCACACGAAAACAAGTTCTCAGCAGCAACAAACTTAATTTCCTTATAACACAGCTTAATCATAGGTAAACTGAACTAATCTAAAATCATGCATTTAGTATAATAAACTGCAGAAATTGAAGATAAAATAAAAAAATTCTAAGAAGGATATTGTGCAATCTTATCAAAAGAAATGCATTTCAATCAATAATCAAAATTTGCAACCAAAAATTTATCGAAATTTCCATTTCAATCGAAATATTAAATTAACACTTTGCATCAAAAACCGCTACAAACTATGATTCGAAAAAAAAAAAAAAAAAAAACGCTACAAATTAAAAATACCCTAAATTAACAACAAATTACCAGTCACAAAAACGTCAAAAATCAATCACAATCACAAATATCAACATAAAAATCAAGAACTCAACAAAATTATAAGTAAATCGAATCAAAAAAAAAAAAAATCAACAATTACCAGAGTGAAGAATATAACAATGGCGATAATAGAAGTGGAGATTCTTCGTCGACGAGGAGCCATGGCTAGGAGAGAGAAATCGTTGAGATCAAGGAGAGAGAAAATCAGTTCATATTAATTGCAACGAAGAAGATGAAGTAATTAAACTACAAATTTCTGGGAATTATTTAATTTTCCAGATGATGGAAAACAACTGTTGGAGAGTGAGTTCTAAGTGAGAGAATTTTGATTTTGATTATTTTTTCAATATCTGTTTAGTTGCAGCACATAGTTCGTGCTTATTTTTTTGTTCCCACTTTATTTCACCTGCAATAACTTTTCTTTTGAACGCAAATGAGTATGAGTTTGACCCTTTTGGGTGGTATCTCCGATTTGAATTATTCGATCCAAATCTCGAATGTGTTCGGAGGTAGGAGTGGATTATTTGATTTTCGGCCCGGCTTGAATTTAATACAAAGGCCTTGTTTGGCAAATGGTTGTTGACGGTTGGTTGTTGGCTGGTTCACTTGGCTTGTTTGACCAGCTGAAATGTTTGGCTGTTTATAATGGCTTTTGAAATTGGTTGTTTAAGCTGGCTGTTTATAAAAGTGTTTGGTAAATTAATTGTTGGTTGTTGGCTGTTTATTAGATAATTTGTGGGTCAACAAGTCAAAAGCCAACAAAAAAAGCTACTCAAAGCAGCTTTTTCATTTTGGCTTAAAAGCCAGCTTTTTCGCTGACTAAAAAGCCAATAACCAAACACATTTTTTGGCTGATTGACCACCTAAAAAAGCCAAAAGCTAACCAAAAAGCCATTAAAAAGCCAATTACCAAACATGGCCAAAGTGTTTCTGATATATAATAATGAAAATATGAAAAGGACTTGAATATGACCACAACGAGCGAAACCATGGTGATGTACATCGTATCATTTGTATGTGGTTGTGCAAATCGTATATGGTGTATTATCTTGAGATTAGAACGCATTTTTATCCCAATGTAATAAGTAGATTTAAAGAGAATAATATTATTGAAATTATTAGAAATGAAAACTAATCAAAGTATAAATTAGTCATTTATGAAGTGTTTATAAGATATGGAGTATTACTCAATAAATGTGAAAAAAAAGGAAAAAAAAAAGACTGACTAAGCTAGTTCATAACAAGCAACATCACCTCCAAGTGATCGATTCTTGCATAGTTCGATCGGTTTTAAATAATCCATTATGGATCTTAGCTTACTTTGGTTCAACGATAATTTAATTTAGTAACCTAAGAAAGGTTCTGTTAATTTTGTTTCACGTGCCGAAACTTAATCCTATTAACCTTTTATGATGGGCTAAATTTGTTAACTTGCTTCTTTAAAATTTCTCGGATTTTAAAAACTGACTCTGATATGGCAACAATCCGACAAAAAATTAGGGGTGTCAACGGGGCGGGGCGGGGCGGATTTTGGCATTCCCATCCCCATCCCCGCCTCACATTTTCATCCCCATCCCCATCCCCATCCCCATGTCGGGTCTGAAAATAATCCCCGTCCCCGCCCCGGCGGGTCCAACTCTAAAACCACCCCCGCCCCATCCCCGTCCCCGCCCCATACCCGCAAAACCCCCACCCCATACCCGCCAAACCCCCGCCCCATCCCCGCCAATTCCCCGCCCCATACCCGCCAACTTAGTATTGAGAAAAGCAACTGTCTTTCAAGTTTCAAGTGTCAACTGAAACCCTGCAGACTTCATAGTAGACTAATGAAAAAGTAGCAGTGCATACAAATCCCATTAACTCAAATCCAACAAAAACCACTGCAAGATCAACCATTTTCATAAAGTGCAACACCTTAGGCATACATACTACATTACTACATATTAAAAAACATAAAATTAGTAGTACATAAGAGAAAAAAAAAAAACACTAACTCCAAATTGTCCAAAGTCCAAATATTAAAAATAACTACAAGTCTACAAATATTCAAATACATAACAAGAAATTCATTAGGCCTTGAATTATTCGGTGCAAAGTCCACTTGTTCCAGAATCGATATCACATGTTTCAAATCCTTCCTCTAATTCTCCCACTAATTTAGCATATTCATCATCCTTAAATTCTCCACAATCTGCAAATACAATGTGAATTAATTAAAATAAATAAATAAATAATATTATTAATTAAATAAAATTTTATTTTAGCTATTTACTTTTAGAAACAGCCCATATCCAATTTTGAGTACACATCAAAGCTTCTACAGCTTCCGGTAAAAGCCGACTACGATAAGGATTAAGAACCCGACCACTTGTGCTAAATGCGGACTCTGATGCAACAGTAGAAACAGGAATGCTCAATATATCTCGTGCTATTTGCTGAAGAATGGGATATGTGCCTCCATTTGTCTTCCACCAGTTAAGAATATCAAAATCTTGGACTAGAGGCACATTAGCAGCATCTAAATACTTATCCAAATCTGATATATCATGACTTGAGTCCTTATCTTGTTGTAAAAATTCAGCAAATTCTTGCATAAAGGTCTCTTCATTGGATTTGCTACTACTACCCAAATCAAAAGCTTGTTGGTTGCTACTACCTTGAGTTTTACCCATCTTAGACCCATATTCATCAACCAATCTTCGTAGAAGATCACTAATTCTACTAACCTCAATTTCAAAGTCATGCTCATCAAAAATTTTTGCAAAATAAAAGCGAATAAGAGCCATTTTGTATCTAGGATCTAGTATTGTTGCCACTCCCATTAAGCCATTCACACTAGCCCAATACTTGTTATATTTTTGTAACATAATGTCGGCCATTTTCCTTACATAATCATGAGGAGATAAAAGCCAACCAGAAATAGCAATTCTCAAAGCACAAATTTTAGGAAAATAAAGATTGGCCGTAGGGTAATTTGTTCCTGAAAAATTAAGGGTAGTTTTACTAAACACTTCCAAATGTTCACATATTTTCTCAACTTTTTCCCAATCTTCAGGGGTCGGTGGATTCTTATATAAATTATTACGAGCACTTAAAACAACAAACACTTCTTTATAACTAGTAGCAATAGAAAGCATTTCATAAGTAGAATTCCACCGGGTTTTGCAATCAAGTGCTAACTTTCTACTACACTCAGGAGTTATTTGCTTAGCCACTTGTTCAAACCTTTGTACTCTCTTATCAGAAGCAGTCCAAAACACAACACTATCCCTAATTCTTTGAACACCATTTGATACCACAGCACTTAAACCATCTTGAACAATCAAATTTAATATGTGAGCACAACAACGCATATGAAAAAAATCACCTCGCAATAAAAGTGAGCCATATGGAAACACTCCTTTCAAAATTTCCATCATTGCATCATTAGTTGAACAATTATCCACGGTTATAGAAGACAACCTAAGATCAAGATTCCATGATTGAATGCTTTCTTTCAAAGCATCAGCAAGAACCTCAGCAGTATGAGGGGCGGGGACATATAAAAACCTACCAAAACCAATGAAAATAACATATATTATTTGTCTATTCAATACTATTGTGGATATATGGGCTCATTATTATCATCCATCATCACAACTTATAATTCTTATGATTTTAAAATTCACACAAAAAACTATAGCAATACAAAGACAACCAAAAAAAATAAACAAGTTATAAGTAACCAGAAAACAATACCTTATGATCCGACTTTGCAACTTCCATGTATTATCAATAAAATGTGAGGTGACCGCCATATAACCTTTTCTCTGGTTGTCAGCTGTCCACATGTCAGTAGTTAAGGCAATCTTACCCTTTGCTTTCCTCAACAAGGTTGCAACATTCTCCTTCTCAAGCTCATATCTTTTCATAATATCTTTTCTAGTTGTGTTGCGAGACGACACTTTAAATCCAGGTTGGAGTGTCTTGCTATATTTTCTAAAACCAATATGCTCAACCATGCTAATTGGATACTCATGCAAAATAATCATCTCTGCCAAGTCTCTTCTTCCATCTTCTTGGTGGAATTCGTAAGGAGCCAATGTCATCGTGTCATTCTTATCATTCAAGTTTTTTTTTTGTACCAAACATTCTTGTTTGTCGAAGATCTTGACATACTCTCTTTGGACATATTTTTATATGATCTTTCAAATGAGTAGTTCCTGCTTTTGACCCACCAGCAAGTAGCTTGGAGCAATGGTTGCACTCAGCTTTTATCACATCCCCAACTCTCTTTCTCTTAAAATCAGACCACACTGCCGAAGTATGCCTACTAGTAATTGGTAGGAGAGAAGGATCGGAATCAGTCTCTAGAGGACTTTCATCATCATCTATTGCAATTGGAGTATTACTAGCGGAAGTGGGAACACTAGCGTTATTCTCATTTTTAGATGTCATTCTCCCCTGTAAAAATTAAATAAAGACAATTAATGCACTAGACATATTGACTACAGTATTGAACACATTTGACATCTCAGAAACAGCAATAATAAATTAATAATAGCAAATTAGCAATGCACAGCAGCAAAGGCAGATCATGCTTCTAGCACAGTTATCGGAAGATATCATGTTGAAAGGCCTATCAATGCATAATGTCATACTGTAACTGCTATGTTAATATATTGTTGCTGCTGCATAACCAGTTAACCACCTATCACACTAAGTCACTAACCACTACATACAGGCTACAACACAAATTTATAGCCACTGAGCCACATAGATACAAACACAAACGCTCACACACACCATGCATCATTCATAGGCTAATAGCCAGTCATTTTCAATTCAAATTTAGTAAAAAATCAGTATATATATTTTGAACTACAATACAATCAAAATTCATCCCCACTTAATTATATACAAAGTGTGTTAAGTTAGTGTGTACTACAGAGATTGATCTTAGTAAATGAATTAAATAAAAAAAAAAGTAACTAAATCTATAATGATCGAATAAGTGGTCAAATGACATAATCCGAATTTAGTTATCACACATAAGCTAAAATAATAAACATAAACTTATAAGTCTGAAATTAATGAGAAAAACTAATTACAATCTATACATATTTCGACTTTATTATATCTATTTTGTGAAATTAAATATAAAAAAACAAGTAATGAAAATTCTAGATTAAAACCCTAATAAACTAAAAAATTTGGAGGTCATCATATTCATACATTATCATACAAAAAATAACAGTAATCAACTACATTGCATTAGATTGAAAGTATCATACAAATATAACACGAAACCCTAGCTCAATCAAATGAAATATTGAAAACCGCAATCGAACAAATCATAAATAAAAGACGAATCACATACTTTCAATCGAAAACCCAATTAAGAAATTCTTAATTGAACATATTGAATTAAGAAAATTCAAAGATAATAATGCGAAAACGTTTACCTAAATTGAATGAGTTGCAGCCTTGCAAGATCGAGGTTGAAGAAGAA